AAAGTGGGCATCAAATCAAGAAGATAAGGAGTGATAGGGGAGGTGAGTATACCTCACTGGAATTCAAAGCTTTCTGTGAAGATTTGGGTCTAGAAAGGCAACTCACAGTAGCTTACACTCCTCAACAAAATGGAACTGCAGAGAGAAAGAACAGGACTATAGTGGAGATGGCAAAATCCATGCTACATGAGAAGAAAATACCCTATTCATTTTGGGGAGAAGCTGTGAATACTGCTGTGTATCTCTTGAACAGATGTCCTACCAAAGCTTTGGAGAAGCAAACTCCATTCGAAGTGTTCAGTGGAAGAAAGCCTGGAGTCAAGCACTTAAAGGTTTTTGGCTCTGTGTGTTATGCACTGGTGCCATCACAACTCAGACACAAGTTACAAGAACCAAGCAATAAGTGCATTTTTGTTGGGTATGGCACAAATGAAAAAGGTTATAGATTGTATAATCTAAGAACCAAGAAGATCAATCTCTCAAGAGATGTAATTTTTGATGAAGAATCATTGTGGAATTAGGAGACAAATGCAGTAGAACAAGACAAAGTATCACTGCAAGTTGATGTTCCTGAGCAAAGAACTGCACAAACTGAAATTGGTGAGATGTATGAACCTGAAGAAGAAAGCTTGCAGATACCTTATACCTCACCAGTTCAAACCCCTCAGAGTACACAAAACTCAAGTGCAAGTTCAACATCTCAACAGAGAGGGCAACAAAGCTCGAGTTCAAACTCAAGCTCAGGATCAACACCAATTAAAATGAGAAGCCTAGAAGAAATCTATGCAGCATGCAATTTCTGTGTTATTGAACCAGAGACCTTTGGAAGAGGCTGAAAATGACAAGTCATGGCAGATAGCAATGAGAGATGAAATCTCAATGATAGAGAAAAATGAAACTTGGACTCTGGTGGACAGACCAAGTGATAAACCTGTGATAGGTGTGAAGTGGGTCTATAAAAACCAAGTTGAACTTGGATGGATCAGTACAGAGGAACAAGGCTAGATTAGTGGCTAAAGGCTACTCTCAAAAGCCTGGAATTGACTTTAATGAAACATTTGCACCTGTGGCTAGACTAGATACAATCAGGACACTAATTGCATTAGCTGCACAGAAGGGTTGGCAACTATATCAGTTAGATGTCAAGTCTGCTTTCTTGAATGGTGTACTAGAGGAAGAGGTCTATGTGGACTAGCCACAAGGTTTTGAAGTCAAAGGGTCCGAAAGCAAAGTGTATAGATTAAAGAAGGCACTCTATGGCCTGAAGCAAGCACCAAGAGCCTGGTACAGTGAGATTGATGCACATTTCACTAAGTGTGGATTCAAGAAAAGCCTCAATGAAGCAACACTCTATACCAAGGTTGAGAACAAGTCAGAAACTCTCATTGTGTCCATCTATGTGGATGATGTGTTTTTTACTGGAAACAGTAAGAAAATGGTGGATGAATTTAGAAATGAAATGATGAGAAGATATGAGATGACAGATTTGGGGTTACTTCACCACTTTCTTGGAATGGGGGTGATTCAAAAATCAGATTGCATTTTCATTCATCAAATGAAATATGCACATACATTGTTGAACAAATTTGGACTCAAGGGATGCAAACCAGTAAGCACTCCCTTAATTGCAAATGAGAAGCTCAAGAGTGAGGATGGAAGTGAGTTAGTGGATGCAAATCTCTACAGGAAAATTGTTGGCAGCCTGTTATACCTCACAGCAACAAGGCCAGACATTATGTATGCTGCAAGCCTGCTCTCAAGATTCATGCATAGTCCTACCAAAATACACTTGGGAACTGCAAAAAGAGTACTCAGGTATGTGCAAGGAACAATTGATTTTGGAATCAAATATGAAAAAGGACAATCAGCTATTCTGGTTGGTTTCTGTGATAGTGACTGGGGAGGTAGTGAAGATGATATGAAAAGCACATCGGGATATGCTTTTACATTTGGCTCTGGTGTGTTCTCGTGGGCCTCGGTCAAGCAACAAAGTGTTGCACTATCAACCGCCGAAGCTGAGTATGTGAGTGCTGCAGAAGCAACATCTCAAGCAATCTGGCTGAGATTTGTTCTAAAAGATTTTGGAGAAATGCAAGTTGAACCAACTAAGCTAATGTGTGATAATACCTCAGCTATAGCAATGACAAGAAATCCAGTTTTTCATCAGAAAACAAGGCACATAAAGAGGAAGTATCACTTTATCAGAGATGCACTACAAGAAAATGTCATTGAATTAATGTATTGCAGAACTGAAGATTAGATGGCAGACATTTTTACAAAGGCATTACCAAAAGAGAGGTTCACATACCTTCGAAGCCTGCTTGGAGTCAACACCAGGAAGAGTTTAGAGGGGAGTGTTGGATGCTAAACACTTCCAGTTTGATCGAAGAAATGAAGCAGCAACATGCTAACGGCTAGTTTTGTAACGGCTAGTTGTTTTTAAGTAATGCTTTTTTACAAGTGTAGGGCTTAGATTAAAAGCTCCAGTGAAGGGCTTAGATTAGCTTAGTACTATATGGTAGTTGTGGTTTTTGTCAACTAGCTCCAATGGAGATAAGATCTGACCTTGTATACCAAAACCCTACTGATAGCATATATATATGTTTGCTATGAGTTGCTAAGAGAGCAGACTGCAATAGCCGAAATCCCTCCTTACATTTCTGTGTTTTTCCATAACCAAAAACCCTGTCAAGAACATTTCTACAAAATATAAACCTTCCAAAACACTAACAAATCTACACTCCTCAAAGGCTCCGTCGATGTTGGCCCAAAATTGCATCTCCGTACTACCCATCATCGTTAGTCACAAGAAGGAGAGATTACTAAGTCAAAAAGAAAAAGGTGTCTTCTTACAATTACAAAAGCCCCAACAATAGCATACTTCAAATAACCATTGGCTCTGCAAAAAAAAAAAAATAGGACAAAGACCTCTGAAAGTTGTCAGTTGTTGTCTTTATGTCTTTTGTCCGAGAAATAAAAAAAGGATGGAAGGAAGCATCACTTGGATGAAAGCAACACCAAACAAAAAAAGAAGGGGTGAATAAAGGCTGCACCTCACATGAAGAGGGAGAGAGGATTTCGAACTTTCAAGTCTTATTGGAACTTGGAAGCTTTAAAATCATATAAAAAAAAAACAATGAAGAGAAAAGCTTGCTGTCAGAAGGTTTTGAATCAAATGGGTTCAAAGTCCCATATTTAAATGGGGTGGAAAAGCCAAAAAAAAAAAAAAAAGAAGAAACAAGAAGTTTGCTGTAAACAAACTTCACAAATTAATTAGGGACGGTACTTACGTGGAACCCTCAAAGAACATGCATCACAAGAAGTTATATGGATCAAACCTTTTCCGAACCGTGTGGAAAAGCCATGCAAAGATGAATCCTAATTCACTAAGGATTTATAACACGAGGGAAGCCCTTCAACCAACCAAAAATAAAAGGCTGTTTAAATGCCTTTTCAGTCCATATGGCGTGAATCCTACCTTCTACTCAAGGAAAGGACAAAGTCCTATTTACTTTGTACTGCGCATCCCATGTGGGTTGCTACTTGAAGAAAAAAGTGAAGTCCCATTTCACAAAGATCTATTGGATATTACCAAAGGTCATGTATGGGTTTCAAACAAGTCCAATTGACTTCTCATTTTGCCAAGTCTCAATACCCAATCAACTTCTCATTTTGCCAAGTCTAAACAAAAGAATGCAAATCCAAATCAAGCATTAATGAACTACGCCGGTTTGATTCCGTTAAGGATACGTAGGCAGTCTGATATCAAAATTTTAGACGCAACCGTGAAGCTGAAACGAATCCCTGGTTTATATAAACTAAATTCACTCCTGCTATCAAATACCAAAATGGCACGAAGTCGAAGAAAAATTTTCAAAGGGCACAAAGCCTCAACAAATCTCAAAGGCACGAAGCCGTATCAAGTATCAAAAGGCACGAAGCCGTATCAAGTATCAAAGGGCATGAAGCCGCAACAAATCTCAATGGCATGAAGCCGTATCAAAAGGGCACGAAGCCGTGACAAGACTTAAATGGCACGAAGCCACATATGCTCCTCGCCCGCATAAGCTAAAACTGCACAAGGCATTAATGCTCCTCGCCCGCATGAGCTAAAACTGCACAAGGCATTAATGCTCCAATGGCTTAAAGTCCTCGCCTGCATGAGCTAAAACTGCATAAGGCATCAAATCCAAACAAGTATCAAGCATACAAGGAACTACGAGTGACTTGATCCCTCAACGAGGGTACGTAGGCAATCTAGGGTTCTACCTAGATACAGTCACAAAATCAAATAAACACTCCAAATCCCCAAGATACGATTTATTCATATTAGAATCAAAGGGTGTTCCTTTCCCAAAGGAAGGGTTGTAATTAATAGGCGTGTAGCCTAGAATGGGTTGAACTTGAATTAATAAAACCCTCTTCAAGAAATGAACGAGGGTGAAATTGTGTCGAGTGAATTATTTGTTTACATATTATGTACAATTTTTTTTGCTCAACAAAGACGACATGTGACAATTAGTTCAAAATTTAGACCACTACTTAATCAACATGAAATAACAATAACAAAGCCTTATCTCACTAAGTAAGGTTGACTATTTGAATCGTAGAACGCTACTACGCTTGATTTTATTAACATGAAAGATGCCATGCACCATACTGTATTAGTGTGAAAAGAGGTTCTTGAAAATAAGTTTAGAGTGTTACTGTTAGTGGAAGGGGCAAATAATCTATAAATATGCTGACAATTTTTTAGGGAAAAATTATATTAGATAAGCTCATTTTATACATTATTATTCACAATTTTTTTTTTGAACATATTCACAAATATATTAACCAAAGGCCTAATTTTAATACCAATCAATTTGATCACATTAAAATTGATCAATTATTGATTGACACTTGAATATATGCAAGCTATATATTAATTTGTGTGTTATAACATAAGTGGACAACGACTTTATACTTATACCATTAGGTAAAATATTGATGGAGATCGCTGAGAAAGATTTGTGTTTTCGAGCTACTGAGCGCGACACGTGTGCAGTCTTTCAGATCCGTAAGAGAAGAAGAGGTACGGAATCTTATTGAGTCCACTGGCTCAATGTCTCACGAGGGGCTTGCCATCAATTTTAGGGACAGGTGCTGCAGCTTCACAAGTGGCGTAGTGTCGAAGGCAGCATTTGGGAAAAAATGCAAAGACCAAAAGGAGTTCCTTTCGCTACTAGACGAAATACTCAAACTTGGTAGTGGATTTGATATTCCTGATTTGTTTCCTTCACTCAGTTTTCTTGTTTTCATTACTGGGTCGATCCCTGCTCTCAAAGACATAAAAAGCAAGCTCAATACGATTCTCGAACGTATCATCAACGATCATAAAATCAAAAGCAATGACAAAGCAGTGGAGGAGGAGGAAAATTTTGTTGACGTACTTCTAAAACTTAAAGAGTCCAACAAGGTGGAGTTCAATTTCACAACCAATCATATCAAAGATATGATTATGGTGAGTAATGTAGGCTTGCCTTGTACTGCAGACATTTTTTTCTTCGTCGTCACTCATCATTTTATAAAATTATATGAAGGGGTTCTGTCACAAATGGTTGCTCATGTTTTCAAAACTCATGATTTTGGTTCCGCAAATTGAAAATCAATTATTATCATGCTGCACATTTTGTCCCACACATCAATGTCGTTCTTACTGTCTAACTAAGTGAATTTTTTTTTTTTTATGTGCAAGACATGTTCTCTGCAGGAAGCGAGACTTCAGCTACTACCTTAGAATGGGCAATGTCAGAGTTGATGAGAAACCCAAGAATCATGAAGAGGGCTCAAGCTGAAGTGAGACGGTCAGTCCTCCAATTTGAAGGGAAAAAAAGAAAAGTTATTGAAGAAAGAGATGTTCAAAAAATGGACTACTTGAAATCGGTGGTGAAAGAAACTCTGAGGTTACACTCTCCAGCCCCTTTGCTCCCAAGAGAAGCAAGGGACACGGTTCAAATTGGCGGGTTCGAATTACCAGTTAAATCAAAAGTAATTATTAATCTATGGGCAATGGGAAGAGACCCAGAGATATGGGGGGCAGATGCTGAGTGTTTTAAGCCGGAGAGGTTTCAATGTTCTTCTGTTGACTTTAAGGGTTTTGACTTTGAGTTCACCCCGTTTGGGGCCGGCAGAAGAATGTGTCCAGGCATGTTATTTGGTGTTACCATGGTTGAACTTGCTCTTGCTGAATTGCTCTACCGCTTCGATTGGAAACTGGCGAATGAGATGAATCCAGACGAACTTGACATGACGGAGACCTTTGGAGTGACCTGTAAGAGAAAGAATGCGTTGTACCTAATTGCCACCCCACATTTTACTTCAGTCAATGAGTCAGAGTGACTCGGCGTTTTGTTGCCATGAATGGCCAACAAAACCAGCACCATTCTGGTGTATGGCTTTAGGTTTGAATTTTTCCTTTACAGAATAAAACATGTTTTCAGTCCATCAGTTCATCCTTGCAGTTTGCAGTTTGCAGATTGTTTAAATCCAGGCTTCTTTTCATTTAGTACTTGCGTAATATAAGGCATGATTAATGTAATGTTAATTCAATATGTCATCCCTAAGATGTAAGCTTGTTATTCAGATATGTATATATGATCAATAATACATGTACTCGTGAGTGTTCTACTGCTACTCTTCTTGCTCTTCTTCTTCCAAAAATTGTTGTCCATAACGATTGCCTAAGACAACGAATAAGAAATGAACTTGCTTAGAGTACGACCGGCATCGGGAACCAGAGGCCAGGGGCGGCTCGGCCTCAAGATTTCACACATTAACAATTAAAGCTATGGGTCTATGATGCGATCGCGATCATACTCAATCTGCACTGAATCTGATAATTATTTGGTTTGTTAGGCAAACAAATACAAAAATGATCATGATAACATATTCATCGATCATGATTCCAACCGATGTTTTTTATAGTTGTTGCATATGAATAGTCAATTCATGTAGGTAAGAGAATGAGACCACATGTGACAATTAGTTCAAAATTTAAACCTCTACTTAATCAACATGAAATAACAATAACAAAACCTTATTCCACTAAGTAAGGTCGACTGTTTAAATCGTAGAACGCTACTACGCTTGATTTTATTAACATGAAAGATGCCATGCATCATACTGTATTAGTGTGAAAAGAGGTTGTTGAAAATAAGTTTAGAGTGTTACTGTTAGTGGAAGGGGCAAATAATCTATAAATATGCTGACAATTTTTTAGGGAAAAATTATATTAGATAAGCTCATTTTATACATTATTATTCACAAATATTTTTTTTTTTGAACATATTCACAAATATATTAACCAAAGGCCTAATTTTAATACCAATCAATTTGATCACATTAAAATTGATCAATTATTGATTGACACTTGAATATATGCAAGCTATATATTTAATTTGTGTGTTATAACATAAGTGGACAACGACTTTATACTTATACAATTAGGTAAAATATTGATGAATAAACACTAAATATAATTGAGTAGAGCTAACAGCATGTGACCATGTTACAACCTCACTTCAAAGGTTTTGTTTTGTTGGGGAGGGGGATCCATAAAAATTCATTATGATACCTTGACAAATAGAAAATTGTACAGGCTAACTTAAGCATCTTGGTTGAAAATCTCTCATGCATTATTATGTGATATTTTAAGAACTTGCTTTGCACATTTGCACTCCGAATACATTTATTTTATTTTGTTGTTCCAGTCCAAAACTAGTATTTAAGTTGAGAAGACCTTAAGCGCTTTCAACATATCAATCCAAATTGAAGTGCTTTGATTTGCAAAGTAAAATACCCCAAAGTCGTATGATGAAATTGATCAAAGCTTATCTGGATCAAGTTATGTTTCTAATTGACGAAACGCCCTATTTTCCTTTTTTCACTTCTCTCCTTGTCTGCATCCTGGTGATTTTTTGGAAGCGATCCAGAGCCGGAGGCCTAAAGTCACCCCCAGGGCCATGGAAGCTGCCGTTTATTGGAAACTTACATCAAATGGTCGGTCAGCTGCCACACCACACACTGAGAGATTGTTAGTGTAACTTGATTTCAATGAGAGTTTTGATGAAGATGGAGCTGTACAGAAAACACACGATGAACAAAGGTTGGAGAAAGCGAACGGTTTCTTGTTCTTTTCTCTGCAGAAACTTTACAGAGGAATATTGCTTCTCATTCCAGAAATGAGCACTCACGTGCTTTACATTAACTGAAGGTCCTTAACTTGGGACCACATAAACTACTACATTTCATCCTAGACACACATCTCTCTAATTTCATGGATCTACCAACACATGGCACTCATGGTCTTTTTACAAAACTAGACATTTACACTTTGCCTCATTCTGCACAAGTGGATTCACCAATTTAAACAAAACTTATTCTAAAACATTTCAGCTCAAATACTTATAGTTCAACAGAGATTTAGCCAAGAAACATGGACCCATCATGTACCTTAAACTCGGTCAATTAGACGCCGTGATTATTTCATCTGCCAAAGCTGCCCAGGAGGTGTTGAAGACACATGAGCTTACATTTGCGTTTTTGAGCTATTGAGTGCGGCACGTGTGCAGTCTTTCAGATCCGTGAGAGAAGAAGAGGTACGGAATCTTGCCGAGTCCATTGGCCCAATGTCTCACGAGGGACTTGCCATCAATTTTAGGGACAGGTGCTGCAGCTTCACAAGTGGCGTAGTGTCAAAGGCAGCATTTGGGAAAAAATGCAAAGACCAAAAGGAGTTCCTTTCGCTACTAGACGAAATACTCAAACTTGATAGTGGGTTTGATATTCCTGATTTGTTTCCTGCTCTCAAAGACATAAAAAGCAAGCTCAATACGATTCTCGAACGTATCATCAACGATCATAAAATCAAAAGCAATGACAAAGCAGTGGAGGAGGAAAATTTTGTTGACGTACTTCTAAAACTTAAAGAGTCCAACTTGGTGGAGTTCAATTTCATAACCAATCATATCACAGATAGGATTATGGTGAGTAATGTAGGCTTGCCTTGTTGTACTGCAGACATTTTTTTCTTCGTCGTCACTCATCATTTTATAAAATTATTCTCACGTTTTCAAAACACATGATTTTGGTTCCGCAAATTGAAAATCAATTATTATCATGCTGCACATTTTGTCCCACACATCAATGTCGTTCTTACTGTCTAACTAGGTGAAATTTTTTTTTTTTATGTGCAGGACATGTTCTCTGCAGGAAGCGAGACTTCAGCTACTACCTTAGAATGGGCAATGTCAGAGTTGATGAGAGAAACCCAAGAATCATGAAGAGGGCTCAAGCTGAAGTGAGACAGTCAGTCCTCCAATTTGAAGGGAAAAAAAGAAAAGTTATTGAAGGAGGAGATGTTCAAAAAATGGACTACTTGAAATCGGTGTTGAAAGAAACTCTGAGGTTACACTCTCCAGCCCCTTTGCTCCCAAGAGAAGCAAGGGACACGGTTCAAATAGGCGGATTCGAAGTACAAGTTAAATCAAAGGTAATTATTAATGCATGGGCAATAGGAAGAGACCCAGAGATATATGGGGGGCAGATGCTGAGTCTTTTAAGCCAGAGAGATTTCATGGTTCTTCTGTTGACTTTAAGGGCTTTGACTTTGAGTTCACTCCATTTGGGGCTGGCAGAAGAATGTGTCCAGGCATGTCATTTGGTGTTACCATGGTTGAACTTGCTCTTGCTGAATTGCTCTACCGCCTCGATTGGAAACTGGCGAATGGGATGAATCCAGACGAACTTGACATGACAGAGAGCTTTGGAATGGCCTGTAAGAGAGAGAATACGTTGTACCTAATTGCCACCCCACATTTTACTTCAGTCAATGAGTCAGAGTGACTCGGCGTATTGTTGCCATGAATGGCCAACAAAACCAGCACCATTCTGGTCAATCAAGAATCAATTGTTCATTCACTTCTGTATTCCCTCTTTAACAGGCTAAAACATGTTTTCAGTCCCATTAGTCTCCACAATGTTCCACTCTCTTCCTATATTTTAGATTGCAACGATTTTCATCCCTGCAGTTTGCAGATTGTTTGAATCTAATGCTTCTTTTCATTTAGTAATTGCTTAATAAGGCATGATTAATGCAATGTTGTTGTCGGCTCTAGGACATAGTAGGATAAAACTTTGTAGTTGTTTGTCATTCCTAAGATGTAAACATGTTATTCAGATATGTACGGATATATGTTGATGATACACCATTTTTTATTGGCCATATTGCTCACTTTTTCAGAGCCTCAGGCTAAGTTTGGGAAATGAATTTTTTCCCAAACTACTAAAACCAAGATGTCTTTCTAATATTCAATATGTCGGAAGTTCCAAAATCCTCATCCCTATTACTACTCTACTGTTGCTCTTCTTGCTCTTCTTCTTCTTCTTCCAAAATTCCTTGTCCACAACTCCAAATTGATTGTCTGAGACGATGGATAACAAATAAACTTGTTTAGAGTATGAACGGCGTCAGGGAACCAGAGGCCAAAGGTGGCTCAGCCTCAAGATTTTACACATTAACAACGTTAAAGCTATCGGTCAATGACGCGATCGTGGTCGTACTCAATCTGCACTAAATTCGCTAATTATTCGGTTTGTTAGACAGACAACAACAACAACAAAGTATTTTCCCACTAAGTGGGGTCGGCTATATGAATCCTAGAACACCATTGCGCTCGGTTATGTGTCATGTCCTCCGTTAGATCCAAGTACTCTAAATTTTTTTTTAGAGTCTGTTCCAAAGTTTTCCTAGGTCTTCCTCTACCCCTTGGCCTTGAACCTCTGTCCCGTAGTCGCATCTTCTAACCAGAGCATCAGTAGGCATTCTTTGCACATGACCAAACCACCGTAACCGATTTTCTCTTATCTTTCCTTTAATTTCGGCTACTCCTACTTTACCTTGGATATCCTCATTTCTAATCTTATCATTTCTCCCATGCCCACACATCCAACGAAGCATCCTCTTCTACGCTGCACCCATTTTATGTACATGTTGATGCTTCACCGCCCAATATTTCGTGGCATACAGCATCGCCGGCCTTATTGTCATCCTATAAAATTTTCCCTTGAGCTTCAGTGGCATACTGCAGTCACACAACACGCCGGATGCACTCTTCCACTTCATCCATCCAACTTGTATTCTATAGTTGAGGTGTCCATCTAATTCTCCGTTCTTTTGCAAGATACATCATAGGTAGCGAAAGCAGTCGCTCTTTGGTACTTTCTGATCTCCAATCCTCACCCCTAACTCATTTTGGCCTCCATTTGCACTGAACTTACACTCCATATATTCTGTCTTTGATCGGCTTAGGCAAAGACCTTTAGATTCCAAACACTTCTCTTCAAAGGTTAAGCTTCGCATTTACCCCTTCCTGAGTTTCATCTATCAACATTATATCATATGCGAAAAGCATACACCAAGGAATATCATCTTGAATATGTCCCGTTAACTCATCCATTACCAATGCAAAAAGGTAAGGACTTAGGGATGAGCCTTGATGTAACCCTACAGTTATAGGGAAGCTTTCAGTTTGTCCTTCATGAGTTATTACGACAGTCTTTGTTCCATCATACATATCCTTTATAGCTTGGATATATGCTACTCGTACTCTTTTCTTCTCTAAAATCCTCCAAAG